TACACTGCTAAATTAGGGACAGCTAGCGCAGATAGCCCTCGTGTAGCTTTGTGCGAAATTCAAAAACAAAAAACAATAACCAATGGGTTCTCAGAATATATTATCATTACATAAAACCATTACAGATGGAAGATGTCATGAGATACCTGTCCTTGGTTACAAACACGACATCAGCTGGAATGATGTTGGGGCCTTGATCTCCTTCTCGGTGAAAAATAAACTTCGTACCTGGTCGACAACCTTTTGGGATATGGATGGTAAGGATTCTTTGTTCTCTCTGTGTGGTTTCCTCATTATCCATAAATACCTAATAAAATACAATCAACGAATGTTTGTATGTGAAACCGCTTTGAAAGCAACACATGCTGGTTATAACCGTTATCAACAGAAGGTCTATTACAAATGTGAACTGCAACAGAAGTTATGCTCAGAATGTATAAAAAGTAAAATGTGAACTTTACCACGAGATGGCAAGCCAGCTATGTTTACAAACAACCCAAGTACTTCAACTCATCAGTATAACATCGTATCTTCCCTTGACTTTTAGTGGTCCTACATTATAATATAATACATTATTAATTCTACTGTATTACAAACAACCCAAGTACTTCAACTCATCAGTACAACAACGTATCTTCCCTTGACTTTTAATGGTCCTACATTAAAACATAATACATTATTAATTCGACTGTTACAAACAACCCAAGTATTTCAACTCAGTACCACATCGTATCTTCGCTTGACATTTAGTGACCCTACATTAAAATATAATACATAATTAATTCGAATGTGTTAAAACAACCCAAATATTCCAACTCAGTATAACATTGTATCTTCCCTCGACTTTTAGTGGGCCTACTTTTAAAAATAATCATGAACGACAGTAGTGGTCTATAATAAGGATCACCCAATTGTTCTTCTTTATTATTATTTTATATTTTTCCACCAGTCTACAGCAAAAATGGCTGTGAGTATTGTAATAAAACCTGGACAATATTACTAAAGGCATCATTGTGCATTGTGTAGGGTAATTTTAAGGTTATTTGACTACGTAGCGGTTGAATAACTGTTGATACCTAATCGTTTTATTGTAGTCTGTGGTTTATATGGAGCCTCATAATCTACTACATGCACAAGTATATAGCTGCATTAAGGCTGAGGATGTAATTCAGTCTTTATATGGCAGGCATGACCATGTACCATACTGACTATTAACTTATTGTTGCAACTGTACTGAAGTCGCGTATCATTTGTTTATATATATGGTTCCTGCCCTTTCGGACACGGCGCTGCTGACAGGATCACAGTTGTTTGTTGTTTTTTTACCACTGCATGATCGCTTTCGGCCATGTTGCAACGTTATACAAACGCCTGGGTGTCTCACACAACAGAAATCTTTAAGCTGTAGTTTAAAAGATAGCACCAAACTCAGTTTCGAGCATTGCATCGGTAATCACAGTGATGGATGATGGTAAGTATCGAATTATAGTCAACACTGCGTGATTGTGAATTTTATAGATACTGCAGATAGAGTAGCCGTCCTTGAAGTTGACTATTAGGAGTGGCAAGAATCGTACAAGTAGGAAATGGCGATTCAAAGCGAAAGTGAGGCAGAAATTTTGTAGTTATATATTTTATTTAGAAAAGATTTAGTTTCAGATAAAGTATGCAGCAGCGAAAAGCCACCAGAGTTTAGAGTCGTCACAGTGGGAGAGAGTAGTAGAAGTGTCACGACCCAAACTCCATCAGAAATGGAGGGAAGAATGGTATATCAATATAATCAATTCAGAATCGTTAATTAACTCGTTTCAGACCTTGTAGAGTGTACAGAATATCACTCTAAGAAGAAATCTGGCCAGATGCAGCAAAACCGTGACCAGATTACTATGGCCAGTGGAGAGGACGAAGAGGGAATATAACAACTATGAGAAATATTAGAAATGCTTGTTTATATATATATATATATATCCTATGATATTATGACATATTGTCTGATACTTGCATTGAATATACTTGCATGCATCTATACAACTTGAAAAATTCATATGGTTATCTATATATATACAACTTTACAGGTTAAACTATAAAGCCTGCATATATAGATATAAATACTAACCAACATGCGTTGCATGTGCATGCATGTATGAAACTCATGCGGTTACAAAATACAGTCCATGCACCATTCCAATATAGTTCAGTAGTCCCTACAATCCAGTGTTTACAGACTCCCCATATAGCTACAAGGTATAAATATAGTAACTATATATATATATTTTACAAGCATATACATAACATGTGGTGCTGGATTACGAGTTTGTGGGGCCCTGGCCACTTTAACCGTTTTAACGAAGGAAGACCGAGAGAGAGAGAGGGGCCATGAGAAAAAGCCCAGATTAATGTTTTATTGCACTATAAAACAAAATACATTACACCCAACTCAGGAATGAACATAACCATGTAAAAACATGCTGGTTAGGAACTGTTTACTAACTCCAGGAAGTGAACACAACCATGTAAAAACATGCTGGTTAGGAACTATGTACTAACTCTAGAAGTGAACACAACCATGTAAAAACATGCTGGTTACAAACTGTGTACTAACTCTAGAAGTGAACACAACCGTGTAAAAACATGCTGGTTAGCTACTGTGTACTAACTCTAGAAGTGAACACAACCATGTAAAAACATGCTGGTTAGAAACTGTGTACTAACTCTAGAAGTGAACACAACCGTGTAAAAATATGCTGGTTAGGAACTGTGTACTAACTCTAGAAGTGAACACAACCATGTAAAAACATGCTGGTTAGAAACTGTGTACTAACTCTAGAAGTGAACACAACCGTGTAAAAACATGCTGGTTAGGAACTGTGTACTAACTCTAGAAGTGAACACAACCATGTAAAAACATGCTGGTTAGGAACTGTGTACTAACTCTAGAAGTGAACACAACCGTGTAAAAACATGCTGGTTAGGAACTGTGTAATAACTCTAGAAGTGAACACAACCGTGTAAAAACATGCTGGTTAGGAACTGTGTACTAACTCTAGAAGTGAACACAACCATGTAAAAACATGCTGGTTAGGAACTATGTACTAACTCTAGAAGTGAACACAACCGTGTAAAAACATGCTGGTTAGGAACTGTGTACTAACTCTAGAAGTGAACACAACCATGTAAAAACATACTGGTTAGGAACTGTGTACTAACTCTAGAAGTGAACACAACTGTGTAAAAACATGCTGGTTAGAAACTGTGTACTAACTCTAAAAACAGTGATCTAAAAGCACAACTCTATAATCGTACATAACTATGTGGTTGTGAAGGACAGGTTGTTAAGAAACAGT